TTTTTTTTTTTTTTTTGTTGAACTAGAATCTACCCCAGATGTATGGGTATAACCTTTCACAACTAGGCATGTTTTTAAACACACAGCTGTACCATCTGGATTCATTTAATAGCATACACCCAACAACAACCTACAACAGTTTACCTGGTGGCAAAGAGACAAGGTCCCAAGTCTGATTCTGTTTCAAAGCAGTATTCTCCTCATCCATAGTTTGTTGCCAACTAGGAGAAGACAAAGCCTGCACATGTGACCTAGGCATAACCTCTGAAGATAACAACAAAACAAAGGAACAGTAACTTGAAGATAAATGAAATAATCAGACATGTTGAATTGGATGAGCAATACATGTACTCTTAGGTTTGCGAATTACATTGGCTAATCATCAGAAGTGGAAGAAGATATTATCTGGGTAACAATAGGAGGAGATGGACCCTCAAGCAATGTAGACAATGGCAGAGCCACATTGTCAAAAGGGTCTGTACGTCCTTGTTTTGCCTGTGGTGGACATGCATCGGATTAGAACCCTACTCATATGATTTAAGATTTCACTCAAAAGGAACGGGAAGAGGAAACCAGTGTGCTCACATTGAATCTCAACGCCTGGCGCAAACAAGAGGAAATTAGTGATCATGGTTGATATTGCCTTAAAAAAATATTGATAGCGAGATGTTGCTGATGTAGCAGAAAATTAGTCCCCGAAAATTTGGACCATAAGTTAAATGTTTAGGTTGTTCAACAGTTAGCGAAAAGGTTAGGAAATGGTTTCAGGCTGATTCAAGCTTGATCAAACTTGTACCAAATAGGGGCTATTCTTAGTCTGTTTAACAGTAGTCAGTGCACAGTGCTTTAAGAGAAGGAAAGGAGCAGGAATTTGGGGGAGATGGGGAGAGAAGGAAAGAGTGTTTCACTTCTTGCGAGGAACTGACAAATTTTGCTCGATCTGTGCTCCATCTAAAACAGCGCTATTAGACCCATATATACATAAGTCAGTGCACAGTGCTTTAAGAGAAGGAAAGGAGCAGGAATTTGGGGGAGATGAGGAGAGGAGGGAAGAGTGTTTCACTTCTTGCGAGGAACTGGCAAATTTTGCTCGATCTGTGCTCCATCTAAAACAGCGCTATTAGGCCCATATATATATAAGGCAAAATAGCACAGAGACAAACTGAACTTCTTGGGCACGTAAACTTGGTTTCCATGTCGCCATAGGTCCAAGTTCTACTCAACCTTGAACTTTTCTGTGAGTTGGACTTAAAACACTTTTGGCTTTTAGAAATTGTTAAACAATTCAAACTTGAACTGAAAATGTATAGTTGTAGAAATAGTTGGAATCATTGTCAGAATATGTTTTTGGTTCTGGTAGTTTGAAGCTGAGTTCTTTGTTCTTTTGTTTACTGTGATGGAGTTACCAATCAGATGTGTAATAGTGCTGCGTTATTGCTAACCGCCCCTTCCAATATGGGTATTAGATGAATTGAATTGTTTTGATACTATGGGATCACAAATCTCTCTCTGCTAGATAACTATGTAGATGGCGATTGAGCTCTCCTGGGTTCCAAAACTGTGTGTGGAGATTTAGATGTGGGCATTTCGAGAACCGTCTGTGACACCTATTTAGCATGGATTAGTTGCCATACAAAATACCGGTCTGAGTTTGTATCTAAAGAAACATTGAATCTGCAAACTATTCAAATTTTACTATGATTCATAAGTGTGATCTTACATCTATTGGCTTTGTCAAATGCCTGAATTATGGTCGTGGATGTATACTCGTATTTCATTCTGTATGACTCTTCCGGATAGTGGTTATAGTGGTAATCTTACAAAAGAGATTTCTTTGATGTCAGGTCGATTCTTCTGTTTCCCAACGTCCAATGCTGTCGGTGTGGTGCTTTGCTTCCCGTCAGACCAACGGTAACCGGAATTGCATATGGAAGAGCATCGATGGTTGTGGTATAGTACAATAAAGAAGCAGAGAGATGGAGAGAGCTACTCATTGGGGACTATATAGTGTAAAGTGGATTATAAACTGTTGAGTAGATTTCACTCTCTTGAATGCTAGGTGAACTGGTTTGAAGGATATTATATATGTCAGCAATTATGCATTTGCAATTTAGTACTGCTATATATACTAAAAAGTTTACCTAATTTAATGTGGATTATTAGATTAGTGGGTTCTATTAATTTTAATTAGTAGGAGCAAACTTGTTAATCGTGTCGGGTGAGCCAAATTTGTATTGGGTTTTCAAGGGTTCGTGTTAAAACGTATTTCACGGGTGCCCAATTCGATTGTTAATGTATGTCTAATTAGTCGTATCATATCGAGTTAGTATTTTGTATGAATCGTATATAATCGCAATATAAACGAGTTCTATCGTATATTTTTTTTGATTAATTTTAATTATATCTGATTTATTTATTAATTATGTCTTGTCGGATGAATTCCTTTATAAAATGGATGAATTAAATAAAATTTAATTTTTTAATATCGGGTCATGTTTGTGTTGTATTATATTAACGGATCGTGTCATTTTAATATTCACAATTAAGAGTCATTGATGTGACAATTTAAATTGACTTCATTTTTTTTTTAAAGATTAAAAAGGTTCGAAAGGACAATCGTGGTGGTACTCATGATCCTTAGTTCAAACCCACAAGGGGAGCTAATCAGTGGGGCCTAGACAGTGAGGAACTGCAGACATTTTCAAAGGTCGACTAAGTCATAATTTAACTCCTATACCACAAAACTGTTGGTGAAAATAATGGGTCCTCCTGCCTGGGCTTGATCCTTAGTTCAAACCCACAAGGGGGAGCTAATCAGTGGGGCCTAGACAGCGAGGAACTGCAAGCATTTTCAAAGGTCGACTGAAGCCATAATTTAACTCCTATACCACAAAACTGTTGGTGGAAATAATGAGAATCCTCATGAGTCAAATTTTACTTGCTAATCTCATGGGAGTTAGAAATAACCTTAATAGAGACACTGCAAGCCATTGAACCATCAATTTGGTGATAATTCCCATTGACTTGGAACATTAAAGTGGTAAAAGGAAGATTTTGATACTCAGGTTCCACAATTTAAGTAGTTTCAATGTTTATCTTATTAGTTAGTCCCCTACACGGGAGTCATCGTTACACCCGTGTAGGGGACCAAGCACAAGAGAAACGCCTATTGATCACATTATGCACCTGGGCCACTAAAGATGTCGGGGCAAAGCTTATCCCTTCCTTATCATCTGAGCCTGAAGGAAATGGCAGAAGCTGAAAAACTAAAACTTTCCAAGGACAAAACACCTTTGGTTTGGCCTTCGCCAGGGGAGTCCCGGGAACTGAGTTTTAGCCTAAATCCAGTGGGTATGTACCCCTAATCTGCATGCCCAATTTTACTTTTAACTCATTTACAAATAAGTTTCTCACATTGCTCTAAAATAAAATGTATGCCATAATTTTGACAGAAATAATCACTTGTCATTGGAATTTAGGACAAAATAAGTAAAATTTATACAGTTCAAGGACAAAGAGACACAAGCTTCTATCTAGTTTTTTAAACATGACAATTGACAAGATAATTGGTAACAAGTAACTCAGTTGTCCTCGCCCTCCCTTAAAAGTTATTACGAAGGACTCATATTAACTCCCCCCACTCCCCCTTTCAGACCAACCATTAGTCTGGGTTATTTCAGATGCTAACTTAATGCTCTACTGGGAGTGCAGTAGTGATACAACATCTTGTATTACAACTCAATAACAAGACACCATTAGAAGAGACATATACATGATGCACCCTAAATACATATATCGTTCACAATCGCTGCTATCGCTGGTTTCACCTTGTCTAAGCATCCTTACGATTGAATGGTGGGGTTTCAGCAAATAGAATTATATAAAGGAAAAACTGTACCATCACATCAATTCTGTAGGAAAACAAGAAGTGGGCAAAACCATACTGGAAAATTTCTAAGCACAAAAGCATAATATCATATGGAATCAAACAATAAAATTTCACCACATGCAAATGATTCTTATTGAGGGAAAGGAAAGTAAGTCGCATTTGGCACTCAGAGCAAGTGAAAATTAAGACCGTCCTTCAGTTTTGCCCTGCCACCATTCCAAGAACTTAACCTGCGCAGCCATGGTATCCAGCCTGTAAAGTTGCAGCCAGTGGTTGGCAACTTCCTGTCCAAATGTCCAACCAAATACAGCTCCTGCTCCAAAAGAAAGTGCAGCACCTGCCAAATGGAATAATAATAAACAACTAAGATTACCTTAATGCTTAAAGTTATTGAATATATTCTTAACAAACACCTCAATGTCTAATTGTGCTCCCTCCTAAAGACCAACCTTACCAATTCAAGATTTATGTTTTGAATATATAATGGCAAAATGACAGTAGCCAATGAGAATGGAAATATTGTGAGCTAGAACTTCTAACACAGATGCAAAAAATAGTGATTTTAATACACTACAGATATAGCCTGTTCAACCCTTTATTTAAAATTCCAAAATCCTAATCAGAATTGGTTCCAACTGCCAACTAAAAAAAAAATCTCTTTCTCTTAATGTAAATGCTAGACTGACCCTGAAGCATGTCAGCATCAGTTGCACCACGCATGTTACCAGTGCTAAAGATACAGTAACAGAACATTGGAAATCTAGTCTGAGGTGGGACATTTAGGAAGATGAAACTTTAAGATTGAAGAGAGGTGGAATTTTATCTTTTAACAAGGACTACGTATGCAGTAAGAGTGTGGAAAGGGTGATGATTACACCCCCGAAATAATCTCCAAAGGTCATAAAATGAAAACTAGGGGAGAACTTTTTGATGATCAATCACTATTTGCTGCTATCTATGTAGAAATCACGCTTTCAGGACCATAGAGCAATTATCCCCAAGCACAACAGCCCTGCAAACAAGACCATACATACCATGGGGACTCTTTGAATACTTCCAAGCAACCCCTGCAGTCGAAACTGCTCCAATTAAACTTCCTACAGCACCAAATTTTGCTGCTTCACGAACAGTCTTCAGCTGAGAAAGAGGAAAGGAAAAAGTTAGCACTCCAACTAAGGAAATGGGAGGGAGAGAGGCCAAGGAAAAGCCACTGGAAACTGCCCACCCAGAGTAAACACTACATTCAAGAATTTTAACCTTCTGAGGTAGAGAAATATCAATTTGGAACTCAAAAAGAAAAAAAAAAAACTACTAATCAAAGACGTAGACAATAATGTCAAGCAATGGTGTTCCTAACCTTGATCAAGACAGCAACAGAGTTCCATGAAATACCAAATATTTATTATTGTTAGGGCATATTGGCCATAAGACCAGATTAATGTGACCCTAGAAAAAAATGTTGAGGAAACCAATGGAAGCCATGCAGGTATTACTTGGCCAACCATAAGAAAGTAACATCGAATCATCAACCCACTATAAGATAATTTTCCATACATGTTTAAGCGCTCATCAACTTATTGGCATGGGAATTTCATATTCAAATAGGGTACAATCACATCACAGCAACAACTTGAGTTGGCAAGAGACTCATATAGGGTTTGATTGGATATACTATATATATATATATATATATCTGTGTGTGTGTGTGTGTGTGTGTGTAATAGAGAGAGAGATCTGATCCATTCCCAACTATGCCGGTTTGTGGGACGGTAGGGATATCCACAATCCCAGTATCTATTGTAAAATAACTTATATTTATCAAGGCCTAAAATCTATGCCCTACTAACAATATGCATAACCTTTTGGCCTTAATAGAAGTACCCCTTGAAAAAGTATTTAGAGGAGGGAGAGAAACACAACAAAAATGAAGAGTGGTTGTACAGCCAAAACAGATGAAAAGATAGAGAGATTTTTACTGGCTATCTTAATTTTATCAGGTTTTTAAGTTTCAATTGAAATAAATTGAACCCATAAAAAGGGGAAGATGTCCGTGAATCAGATTAGCACCAGCAAGGACAGCCGGGCAGTCCCCACTCTCTTGAAAACTCCCAAGAATGTGAGAAAAAAAAAAGACACCACAAACCAAGAATAGCCAGATGGCTCCAAGAGCAGAACATAAGAATACCAGCGAATAAGAAAGAATAGCACCCATTAATAGCAATATAAAAATGGCTGTAATTACAAGGCATACATAGAGGTATTCAGGTTACTAATAAAAGCAAAACCACAGGTGATACAATCTTCGAAATGGCTTCCTTTAATTAGACTACATATTAAATCGATATCAGCAGTGTTACCAATTTTTTAGACACTCTTCTAAGTTGATAATTTTTTTTTAATCAGCAAGCTTATAAGTTGATATGCTGCAGCGATTTTACATGGAATGACAAATACACTTGTAAATTTTAGATGGAATGACAAATACACTTACAAGTGTTCTCTGTATCAAAAACAGTATAATAGACTTCAGTCAGCAGCACTCATTCATGCAGCAAAAGCACAATTCTTCAATCTGAAGCCTGTGAATACTATGTTGTCCAGTTGAAAGTAATTGAACGAAATATAACTAAAATAATAATTTCAATCTCAATGCTAAATATAAGGTGTTGTTCAAGGGCAATGAATTGAAATCCAAGGAACATGAAATGTACATTAAAAATACTAACACTTGACAGCCTGAAAGTAGCTTTTACATGGGAAATAAATGGAGGACATTGATGGTACGTTCTATGCTCCTCTCATGCATCCCTAGAAATTGTAAACAGAAAGCTTGAAAAAAGAGAAATATAAAGTGGAAATTTGCCAATAAATTAGACTACTTGATTCACATCATTCATACTAAGATCTAAATTATGTCCCTGAACACAATGCATCATTCAAAGCTTGAAGCTTCAGATGAATTGTATAGTGCTGCACTGTTAGTGCAGCGTTCATTTTCATTAAGATTTAAGATTTTCCCTTCATAAAGTAATTCCAGATAAGAGAATCAAATGCACATCTACTGTGCTCTTCGCTAATTTCTACAACTTAATAGACATAATAATTCTTGATTTTTTTTATTAATTTCTATTTGTTAAAAATACCTCAACAAAAAAATAAAAACATATGCTTGCAATTACCAATGTTACAGAACCTAAGCTCCACCAAGTCAGCAAAATCAATTAAACGAGAATTTTCTACCAGACACCGGTATTGAAATTACCTAGTTTCCTATGCAAGCTGCAATACAACAATCAAGAAGCGCCAGAAGAAAAGTTTTGAGGCTTTCAATTCAGGATATTAACAAAGCACACCAAATAGTGAGAATCTAACATATAATCAATTTCTATGATGCGTCCAACTCTTGAAATTTGAAGCACTTCTAATTATGATTTTGGTAACACTTTCCTTCCTAGTGGGAGCCAAAATTCGAGCAATTCTGGCTTTTATTAGAGAGATAACGACATCCCAAAACAATGGAGAGGGCAACACATTGGTGCCTACACAAACCCAACTGGCAAGAACACAGCCAGAAAAATCTGACGACATGACCAACTGGAAGCACCTTTTCCAAACAAAATTACGTCGAAGGTACTGAACATCAATCACAACAATCAAGTTACCATCCCATAAAGAAACCTCAAAGGCAAGCTAAACATGAAAACGAAGCCCACAACAAGAGATACACAACGAATCGCATCTCTTAATTGAAAAACAAAATCATCAAACACGCCTACATAAATCCAAATCGAAAGAACAAAAACTTGAAAAAAACAAGACCAATACGGGATCATGAATCACCAAGTGGAATAATATATAGAGAGAGAGGCGGACATAAACATACTCATACATAAATATAAACACACAAACAATAAAAAAAAAACCACATATGAAATGAAATCATATAACCTTACGCATGCTCACACACACACACACACACACACACACAGGCATAGTTGAAAATTAGACAAAATCAAACAAAACCCAGATGAGACACACACACACACACACACACACATATATATATATAGAGAGAGAGAGAGAGAGAAATATACAGTGGGGCCATGAACAGGGTCGGAGGCAATGAAATCCTCAACATCAGATTCAGACCAAGAAGGGAGTGGGTTCTCTCTCTTGACGAACTTGGAATAGTTATCTAAAATGGAGAATCTCTCGCCCCAGAACTCCTTGTATCCCTCCCAGTGCCTCCTAAAGAAGGATTTGGATTCTGATTCAGCTCCACTTTCACCCATTTTCCAAAACGATTTGAGAAATTTTATTATTCGATTTGGCTAAACCTGTTGCTCTTCCATCTCCAGATTCATCTCCCCCAGGTTCAGTGGTTTTGAATCTTTTCATGACAGTGATGTCAGTAGTGGTAGGAAAATTTTGGTCTCACAAGGCCTTGGGCCCCGGACCGGCCCACCAGTGAATTGATAGGCCCATCATTGATAGATGGCAGCCCACGGCTTGCTTGGTGAGTTTTTTTTTTGTGACAAAGTCTAAACCTTAAAACGTGTTTGTCATTAAATCCTAAATTAGTATTCTTATTTGGTAGTTAAGTCTATTCAGAGTTTCTTCTCTGTTTTTTTTATTACTAAAACACCCGCTGATTGGTTTTAATGATATAAGGAGTTTTCTAATTCATTGGCTTTGCAACCTGTTTTAAATCAAGATTAATACTCATGTGGGACAACTACGAATAAAATAAAATACATTGATGATTAATAATTGTAGGATTTCAAATAATATCATACACAAACATGTAATTAAAACCAAAGACAAAAACTAAAGGAAATCGAGGATGATGTCGAGGGCCCAACGTCAAAACTAAAGGAAAATCCGGAATATTATTATTGTGGTGATAGGTTACAAGTGAAGAACGACTTTGAACAAGTCTTTGAAAACCAAAAGAGATCTAATATCCTAATAGTACTTGTACTAAACTACTACATGGTTGGTTATAATCCCATGTGATCGACTAAGTATATCTAAACTCATTCAAACTATAATACCAACAAAGGATATCTAAATTCGGGAGAGAGAGTTTGAGTGAAACTCCAACAATAATAAACATGAAACTCCTCGAATCAGAAAGTCATTCAAGGCCTTTTCCTTGTTCTTGTATCTGGGACTGAGAGCCGTTCTTTGAGCAACCACAAAAAAAGATGAGGGTATTCTGCCAACCAACATGAAATATGTCGTCTAAATTTATCTCCACCTTTTCAAGCACATCGCTTTGGTTTCGTCGCAAAGGTGATTGTGATTGTGACTGTAAACCACCACCAGCGTAGTTGATCTTGTTCATGACGTACCTCCCTATCTTTGGTGGTGATTCTTCTTCTTTTACAGCAGCATGTGATGCTGCTGCTGCTGATGATGATGATGTACACATACACATTAAGAGGAGGAGTAGCAGAAGAAAAAGTGTTTTTGGTCTAGTAGGGTAGGCGGCCATAGTTAACTGCCTGGAAGGAAGTAGAAAGAAATTTGGGATGGATTCACGGTACGATGATGAATAATATATATAGGGCTGGCTGGTTTGGCAAACCTATCATAATTGGGTTAAATATTGTATTATATTATTATTTATTTAATTGGAGTTAATATTTTGTTTGGTATACAAATTTAATTTCATATTAATTTTAAAAATATACATTAATCATATATTTATCGTATATTTTTATTATCATAGACCTGTTATTTTAATACCACCAGGACATGTGGTATTATAATTTAAGTCAAATATATTGTTGTACATATTTACTATTTAATTTATTTTTTATCCATATGTATAAAAATTTTATCCAAGTAATGTAAATATTGATTTTCTTTCCCAACAAAAAATCTGGTTATTATTATATGTGTTGCCCACTTGCAGTTCAAGATAAATCAAGACACTAGGGGAAAATTTTACATAAGGCACTATTAATATTTCGCCTATTAATTTATATTATTTTTAATTATTATAATTTCAAAAAAAAAATTTAATTTTTTTTAAAATATAAAATATTGATCAAATTCTTACATTTAAGTTTTAACAATTAGTATTTGTCAACAGATAATATTGTGAATTCTTTCAACTTTAACTGATCGTAAATAAGATATTATTGATTGAGTTTTGAACAAGAAATTTAATTGGGGCTTTAAAATTTGGACTAAGAAAATTAAATATTTATTTGAATTCTTAAAATGTGTTCCATAAAAGTTTGGATAATATCTAAAATATAAAACAAAAATTAGGCCCAATATACTAAAGAGTAAATTTTTGGGGGCTCTTAAAGTTTGGTTAAACCAAGTGGAGAGTAATTTTAGACCTAAAAAAATAGATATTAATTTAAACTCTTAAAATTTGGATCATATCTAAAATAAAAAAATATATATATTTTGTTAGATATTATGTATTGTTCGTTGTTGAGATGTAGAGAAAAAAGAATTTTTTTTTTTTTTAATGAGTGTAACTATTTTTTTTAATGAGTTTAACTATTTTTTAATAGATATAACTATTTTTTTAATGGGTGTAACAATCACAGTCTTATGCAATTGTTAAGGCATGATGGTGTAACGATGTTATGATACTAAATGATGTAATTATTTAATTTATGTAAATAACTAAATGACAAATTGAGTTGTTGTCATAATTTTGTGTAATTGTTTGATTTATTAGAACGTATGAGTAACTGTTTTGTGTATTATATGACAATTGTAACTGATTAGTATAATTGTGTTGTTATAATATTAATATAAATAAAGTAACAGAACATATAGAGAGATAGAAACTGTTAGAGAAAATATGTCTCTATTTTATCTCTCATTACTTGATTGTAGCCAAATATATGGAATATAAAGGGTTTCAACCCATTAACTATTTACTGAATGACAATATTGTCTTTTTTTTTAAAATATTCACTTTAGCTCAAATAAGATTGTGTTGTATTTTTGCTCAAATAAGTCTAAAAAATTGTACCGACTTCCAAATCACCCTTTAAAATTTGGGCTTAACTAAGCCGAGAGCCATTTTAGACCAGACGAAATTAGATATTGATTTGAACTCTTAAAATTTGGACCCTAACAATTTAGATTATATTTAAAAGGATAATTTAGAAGTCGGTACAATTTTTGAAACTTATTTAGACAAAAGTACAACTCAAAAACTTATTTTGGTTAAAGTGCATATTTTTTTAAAATACCACTATTGTCATCGGTAAACAGTAAATATATGAAAATTCATCATGTTCCATCTGTTTTTTTTGGCTAAAATCAAGTGGGAAGTAAAATAAGAGGTTTAATTATCAAAAGATATCTTCTTTGGCAGAGGGATTGGAATGTCAAAACTGTGACTGTTCATCGTCCAAAAAAAAGAGGAACTTGAGTTACTGTTCATCGTTCAAAAAAAGGAGGAATTGGAGTTACTGTTCATCGTCAAAAAAAAGGAAAAATCTAAATTATTGTTCATCGTCCAAAAAAAGAAGAATACGGATTACTGTTTTTCTGTCCTTCGGTCAAGTAATTGTAAATCATCTTCAACAACTTCTTCACCGAAAATTGCAGGTGACATTCATTTTTATTTTTTTGTCATTCTTTAATTATTTTTTTCCCACAATCTGTGTTGTTTGATTTTTTGATTAAAAATAGTTACGTAATTGTTTTAAGTAACTATTTATAATCACAAATTAAAAGAAAAAGATAAAACAAAAAATAGTTACAATATACAAGATCTGCCAAAATAGCTATTGGTTGAAAAATTGCATATAAAAACAGTTACACTAAAACGTAATTCTGATTAAAAAATAGTTATACCCATTAAAACCAAAACAGTTTTTTTTTTCCCTTCATCCGAACAACGAACAACATAAAACAATCTTTGCTTCATAACATGAGGATAAAATAAATTAATTAACAAACAGAGACATAGTAACCTTTTTTTGAAAACGTTCATTAATGTTTATACCAAAAAAATGGTTACACCCATTAAAAAATAGTTATAGATGGTGATTGTTATTTGCCGTTCTTTTTCTGAATAAATTCACCACCGGAGAAGTAAATCGACTGTTGAATAAAACTCTTACTGCCGAGATCAAATGAACACAGACGTTGAAGAAAACTTTTACTGCAAAGATCAATTTTTTTTTATTTTACAAACTGTAGAGACGTTTGAAGATTTTTTGTGTTACTGCATAAATTTTTTGTCTTACTGTAGAGATCAGTTGAACACAGACTTTTACTGCATACAAAACTGCTCATTCAAAATTCAAAAATTAAAGATAACAAATATGCAATATTTACATATTTGTTTTCTCAAATAATTATTAATGATGACTGCATAAATTAAAGAAAAATGTTGTTTCCTCAAATAACTGTCAATAATGACTGCATAAATTAAGGAAAGGTGTTTAACTAAAAAAGATTTTAATTCATTTGATTTTTGTACCTAAATACAAAAAATTTTATAAAAATTGTACTTAATAGGATAAACAACTTATTTATACACTTTTGTCTAAATAAGTCTAAAAAATTGTACCCACACCTAAAAAACCCTATTTAAAATACAAAAATAAAAAAATTGGGCCCTCTAAAATTTGGGCCTTAGGCAAGCAACTTAGTTGCGTATGCCTAGGATGGGCATTGGCGTTACCCTGTCCGTGTAACTAAGAGTGAAAACATCTCGAGGTCATCTGATTTGATCTCATCTCTTTATCTTTTTTTTTTAGATAAACAGAAACCCAATTAGCAAGTAATCCTTTATTATCAATTATATATGTCCCTCTGTCTACGGGGCCAGTAAATATTGGGTGTAACCATTCAATGATCATACTCTTAGGACTCATTTGGTAGATAGATTATAAGAGGATTAAATATTGAATTGTATTATTTTTTATTTAATTGGGCATAATACTTTGTTTGGTAAGTAAATACGATACCATATTAATTTTAAAAATATATATTAATTGTATACTTATCATATATTTTTTATACGATAGACCTGTATTATGAAGATATTTTAACACCACCAAAAGAAGTGGTGTTATAATTCAACTCAAACCTATTATTCTACACATTTACTATTATAACCTCTCAACTGATAGAATCAAATTATCATCAATGTAACAAACACTGATTAAGAGTGTTTTTGTTAATTTAACATTAATACGATGAAATAATTCCCTAACTAAAAAATCGATTAAATTAAATAACTACTATTCAACGTTTATATTGTACATTGTCAAATACTAAATAAAATTATTTATTATTCTAATACACTATTTAATCTTGTCTTTTGTTCTTCTGTATTGTATTAAACTGAATTATTTTATCTAATTCATCTATTTATAATACGACAATCAAACGAGTCAAACTCCCAAACTAAGTCTCGAAGTCATTTTTTTCTATAAATTTCTCTGCTCGACTAATAGGTCTCTCTCCATTTTATGGCAAACGAAGTGAAAATGAACAATTTAGGACCCATAACTCTAAGTTTTAAGTTTTATAACTCATAAATGTTGAAATTTTTATTTTCTAGTTAAATTCCCGAACCGAGTTTAGGATTCAACAACTATCACTCATAAACATACACTCACAATGAGAGAAACTGAGGAAGACAAGAACAAAATACGAGTGTGTTAGCACACATTCATTTAAGTGCTTACAAGACTATTGTATATAAATACACTACGAAACAGCTTCGAACCTTTGAGTTTTGAAATACACCAAATACACAAGCTCTTGACAAAAAACTACCAAATTCATTCCTACATACAAACAACCCACAATAACTAGTATACAACCACAACCCATCCACACAAGCCTTGACCAAAAAACTAGAAAATTTATTCTCACAACATGTGTGAACTAACATGATTCCAGCTAATCCCTTCCAAAAGAAAACTTAACATATGTCTAAACTTGTATATAAAGGTGCAATCGACACCAAAAGCAAAGCCACAAAAAAGAAAGTACTCTTGCGATACTACTTCACAAGCAATACTATAAACAGATCCTAGAAGACACTTGACCTACTGTAACCACCAAAATGAAAGTTTTGTTCGTGCAACATTTCGTAACCCCTCTCCTATGTTTCGTCTTTCTTACCTCCACAGCCAAATTCATATACTCAGCCACAACCATCAAGACAAAATTAATCCATCGTGATTCTATTCCCTATCAGTCAAGAATTAGAAAATACTTCCCCAAGGACGACGTTCGAGCTAATCTGATTCCTAATGATAGAGATTCTCTTCTTTTTGCAAACTTATCGATTGGAGAGCCACCCACACCACAACTTCTAGTATTGGATACAGGTAGTATCCTAACATGGGCCCATTGCATACCCTGCATTGGATGTGATTCTGTGACTAGCCCCATATTTGATCCCGCGGAATCATCAACTTACGATGTTCTTTCATGTTATAGTGATTATTGTGATGCAAGGATTCACGGGAGTTGCGACTCTTTAAAGCAATGTAACTATTACATGGGATATGCCGATAACTCGGAAAGTATGGGTGAGCTTGCAACCGAGAAGTTCACATTTGTGACATCTACTGATGGTTTAGTAGAAGTCCCAAATGTTGTTTTTGGTTGTGGACGTGAATTCAGTGGCAAGAACGAAGTAGGTGGGATTCTTGGACTCGGTTCTGCAAATGTATCGTTGGTCTCAAAATTGTCTTTCAAATTTTCTTACTGCATAGGGGATATAGGAGATCCTAACTATAGATTCCACCACTTAATCTTAGGCGAGGAGGCAAAAATGGAAGGTGACGCAACGCCACTGGAAATATACCAGGACCGTTATTATGTAACCCTAGAAACCATACGGATCAGGGAAAAACTACTCGAGATAGACCCAGAAATATTTAAGTTAAAAGGCCCTAGAGGTGCAGTAGCTATTGACTCGGGATCTACTGCTATGATTCTCCCGAGAAGTGTGTTTGAAGCACTCAAAGCAGAAGTGCAAAGGTTAATAGGAGAACTACTGCCAGAAATTAGTAGCTCACAAGACTTGTGCTATTGGGGAAGATTATACCAGGACCTTCAAGGGTTTCCGATGGTCACCTTAGCCTTAGCTAATGGAGTGGAATTAGAGCTAGACATAGGAAGCATGTTTATAAAGTATAAAGATATAATATTTTGCATGGCAGTTCGAATATCTGAGGAAACCGGTCAAGGGACTAGGAGTATTATCAGGTTGAGGGCTCAACAACATTACAATGTTGGCTTTGACATTTTAGAAAAGAAGGCCTATTTCCAGAGAACTGACTGTGAGCTAATAGAATATTAATTGGCAGTGCTCTTCTTCATGTAATGCATTTTTATATTATTGCGTCCCGACTTTTTCAATCCGATTTTGTTCCGGATTAATTAAATCTCATCCCGTATTATATTCAATATATTTTATTTGAACGAACTTTAAATTATTTTTCTATGTTTTGCAATCAAATTCTAATCGCATTTTTTTAATTGCGTAACGCCCGATTGCATCGTAAAACGTAAAAAATTCGATTGTTTTAGAATTCAACAAAAATTGATTAAGTAACTAGATTTTTCGAGACAAATCCAACAATGAGGTCCGATTATACCCCTGCATACATGGTTACCAAATACCCACGGAGAAGCACATTACATTACTTGTATGCTCCTAGCCGGAATCTATGGTGGTTAAGTCTTCAGAACAATCTATTTTTGCTAAATCAAACTTGATCGGCTCTGATTTTTCATAGTGGAATGTTGTCTTAAGTAAAATGGAATTGTAACTTAAATTTGGCAAATTTGACTTCTGAGTCTTATCAAACCGATCTGTAGGGGTTGGGTTGGGTTGAGTTGAGATCAACAGGTAGATGAGCTAATGATCTTGGATGATTAAAATATTCATCATTTTTGAAATGAGTAAATAATCCTTTTAATTTGATTCGAGTGTAAGACTCTAGCGCTTTATGGATTGATAACCCATTTTGACTTTAAGAATTTTGAATTTTTGACTCTTTGAAATTTGAGTTAAAAAGTTTTTGAATTTTTTCCGTTAGCCGAGGTAGATGGTAAACGAAGTTCAGCCACTCTTGGTCTAAGTTGTGGCTAGTAGTAACAACCGACTCCGGAGTAGCTTGCCTATGTAGCGGCGCAACCTCAGAACCTTTTACCCTAGGCGGATGGTTGGAGGATAAAGGTGGTATAGAGAGGTGGAATTATGAAAATAATACGTAGAGTCCATCTTATACCTTGTTTATTTGATATTTTATTATCAATATTATTTTTTAGGTTGTAATACCGATCTAGTATAAATAGTGACTTAAATAACTTATATATAGTATTAATGAATATCATCTATTAAGTGGTATTATTTTTTCGGTATAAACGAAATAACGGTATAAGAAAATAAAATGACACAAATGTCCTCTTACGTGAAAAATTCACATATAAAAATTTATTTCAAATTTTTTTCATATATTATATTTGAGCGTACTATGTCATCGGTTTTTTTTTAAAATTTTTTTTAATTTTTTTTTATATTATGTTTAAATGTATAGTATTAATGATTTTTTTTTAATTTTATTTTAAAAAATTATTTTAAATTTTTTCGTTATATTATGTNCCGGTTTTTTTTTAAAATTTTTTTTAATTTTTTTTTATATTATGTTTAAATGTATAGTATTAACGATTTTTTTTTAATTTTATTTTAAAAAATTATTTTAAATTTTTTCGTTATATTATGTTTAAACGTACGATGTTATCAATTTTTTTTTAGTTTTTTTTAAAAATTATTTTGAGTTTTTTTTATATTATATTTAAGCATAAGGTGTTAACAATTTTTTTTTAATTTTTTTAAAAGATTATGTTTAAATGTACAGTATTATCAAATTTTTAATTTTTTTATTTAAATTTTTTTCTTATATTATGTTTAAATGAACGGTTTTTACCGGTATTTTTTAAAATAATATTTTTTATTTTTTTCCTTATATTATCTTTAAAAAAAATCATTTTGAATGTAATGAATGATATTAAAAGTAAAATAATATATTTGTTACATAAAATGTGCTAGAATAGATAGTGATTTGTTAGACTAACCATACTACCTATTGAATAAATAAATATGGGATAGGATTGAAATAGTTTTTATTACCGATACTAATATATAATACTTCAAACAAACATGAAAGGGCAGATTGTTCTCATTGCTTTCCTTGGAGTTTGTCACCACTGACACAGTGCTAGACAAATTGATTGGAATGGTTCCGGTCAAAATTTGAGTACGCTAACAATAGACCGAGGGGATTTTTGAAACCACCATTGTCTATAGCCTTCTCCATTGTTGGAATGACTTTGATAGTTTCCTCGGAGTAACCTTTGTAATTTTCCTTCCCATGAAAAACACCCCCACAACCCCCTCCACACGGCCCCCTCCCCGCCCACACCGTCAACTCCTCCCACCTATCCACCCCTTCCAAGTAAACCACCACCACCACCCAATTGGCACCCCTTCAGAGTCTCCAAAATGGTGACCAAAGTAATGAAACCCCGTGCAAATGTAGCACAACTTCTGAATGGGTAGCGAGTCTCCTTTCATCTAATTCTGAACCTTCTAAAAACTTGAATGAGAAAGAAAAGAAAAACTAAGCTCATGCCAAGCAACGGGCGAGAGCTAAAAAAGGCCTTACAGGCCAGCATATTTGGATCAAATACTCGCCGATGACTCACCACCATTTTTGGGGAAAAAAAGACACTCAAAAGGTCAACCCAAAGAGTTATATTCCCTTTTACAAAGGCTGCAAAAACAATCCACCAACACCCCCACCAAGGAACCCCAAAAAAAAGGAAAAGGCGACGTGGGGAAACACTTTTTAAACTGGTTATAAACAACAAAATTGGCCCTTACAGCCTTGCTTACACTAAATCGCATTTCATCTCTTTCTCTTGGAAGCAGCACCAGCACCTCGTCCCCCTCTCTTATCTTTGCTATCAGAACCACCTTTTCCTCTGCCTGCTGATGCCTTTTTAGCCCCACTATTTCCAGCACCCTTCAAGTCCACCTCTACTTGGATTCCTACTCGAAAAAGAAAACAAAAACAACAGGGTAAAATTTTATGTATCTGGTTATTACTTGTAATACCATCAATTCTCGCAAAATTAAATCGAAAATACCAGCAAAACATAAATGAGAAGTGGAGATTTCCCACATTTAGTAGAGAGAATTATCACCTACCCTTTGAATTAAGACTCTGTAAATCCAACTGCAGCTTCTTCTCACCATCAGCTGAGCCTTCTGACACAAATCACAAGCACCAATAATTTAAAATTATGAAAACACCACCACCAACATAAAACCATCTAATATAATCCTAGGAAAACATCAAACATCGCTTGATACCCACAAGCTGTATATCTTGATAAATAAATCAGTAAATAAAAATAAAAAATATCCCAGGCTCTAATATTTATTTGTGGAATTTAACCTAGGAATGAAAATAATCAGCACAAACTTCTACAATTTTACATCTATACAGAATAACAAAAAACATTAAAAAATGTGATGGTCCTGTACAGTTTCAGTGAAAAAAAACCGATATGAAAAGACACCCCATTTAGGTAAAAACATTTCCACATCTCAGCATCAATATAGCATTTCTTTTGCTCTACCTCCCAATTTAAACAAAACTCTGATGGGAATTTATTCTGATTTTGAGTGGGTAGTTCAGCTCTTTTCTACGGCAGTAAGAGCTAGCTTTGTAACTCTTGCGGAGTAAGCATGGTAAAAACCAGAAAATGAAGAAGAAGAAAAAGGAGGATAAAAAACAAAATAAGCAAGAAGAGAAGAGAAGTCCCAAGAAGTACTTCACTTAGCCTTTCTATGGTAATTCTTCCCTCCTTCCTCACTACGGTTCACTAGACTTGAGTTGGCAAGATTTATAAAAGGCAAAAACAGATCTTGTAGCAAAGAATGTGAAAATCTGATATATATAGCATTTCTGGACTAATGAAAAAAAAATGACAAGGGATTGCAAAGTGTGTTGCATAATATGCTAAAGCATACTATGGTCCAAGCGGCAAGTGAGTTTCAAAACTTTTCCCAGAAAACCGAGTCTTCCAAGTACTAACAACTGAACAATGCCAAATAAGAGGGGGGATAGGAGAATTGTACCCAAGTCCTCTGTATCAGAAGAGTTCTCTTCTTCGTTTTCTTCCAATGCTTCACCATTCTCTTGTGCTAAAACATCTTCGGCCGGTTCCAACATTGCTGCAATCCGCTTCTTAGGCACCTTTTTTATTCCAGGAAGTGTGACTAAATCTGCTGTTCGAATCACACGTGACTTGCTTCCTTTATTGTATGCCTTTGTGAGTGCAGCTTTGACAGCTGGCTGTATGCCATCCAGTGGATTTGTGTGCCCCTGATGCATGCATTATTAACAAACAAGGAAAGGAATACAACACATGAGATACAGATGATGTAGATAGCCATACCCGAAATTTTGAAATCTCCATGATAGTATCAAAGTCCTCCTGGCTTATAGTGTAGGAATCCATGAACTCCAGGACCTTCTCAACGGCCTCATCCTGGTGATTACTTCCACATTGAAGTGATGTGTTTTCAGAAAAAGCTGCCTAAAATGAAAAATGTTTTTCCAACCTTAGGCATCACCCGAAGTGGATCAGTCAAATGCTTCAAAAGAAGTGTAAGATAATCAACCCGCAAGGTTGTCCTGCAACATTTGCAGCAGAAAAAAATCAAGCAGCTTGCAAAACACAAGAAAATGTACCACAATACTAACAACACCACCAACAACAATATAATCATAATAGTACTGACAATAATAACAATATTCATGAAAGACGGTAATAATAATATTTATAACAAAAGCGATTAAGCAGGGCTTAGAGGGCCCAGACAATCCTATTAGAGTATGTGTCAAAAGTGAATGGTACAAAAACAATCATCATCAAGCTACATCAACACAGTTTAACTAACCATGGTTGCACACAAACCCCTCTACTTCCAATAAAATACCAATCTCACAATAGATATTCTTAAATTAAATACAGCTAAACAAAATTAGCAGACTGAAATTTTCAGCCTCAGGATCATAAAAGGTCGAGACAATGCACTTCTAACTTTCAAGTAAAACCACATGGCAGAGAAGCCTAAAAATTATAGCCATGTCTCTATTAATAACCATATGTGCATCATTTGCTTTAATGGAAATTAGGGTGTCCAGAAGACTTAAGGGAACAAGGAAAATAGGAGGAGGTAGCTGAAAAAAGGAACGGGGAACTGGGGTTTCTTATGTCGTACATGCTGACCCCACATAGCTTGCAACCTTCATCTGTCTCCAACTGAAACACATGGGAAAAAAAAAAAAGAAAGAAAGAAAGAAAGAAAATCCCCAATTCCAAAACATCTGTATTCTTTTTAGAAAATTTACAAATGACTCCCAACAAAAATCAAAACCATATAAATAATGAGGAGGTGTGGAAGCACATTCGTATATATGGTTCCCAATAAAATTAAAACTATAAGATGACTAGTCATATCCCATGCCTAAAGGCACGAAGAAACATAACATTCAAACAACTAAAAAATCAATCTCCCTATATTAAATAATAAAAATTTTTCAACATTTATTTGATTACATCATTTAAAATTTATTTTTATCCATTATTTTCTTAAAAATATCGACAAAAGTTTCTCAAAATATGTAATCCAACAAAATTTTCTCAACATATGTATACTATCGTGTTTAGATAATATCTGAAATAAAAATTATGTTAGTACAAATTAATTAAATATTAAATGATTGAGCATGTGATAAGATGGGTGATATGATGGAATTGGGAGGGGATAATATGTAGGGAATAAAATTCAACTTCCCATGTGATTTATTATATAGATGTAAGAAAAGTATGACAGCACATTCGCGCAACCTAAGATGCAAAAATTGATGTTGGACAGCGAAAAAAGAGGGAAGGACACGGTTGACATGGTTGACATAATGAGGAGGCAGCAAAAAATTGCCATTTATTTGACAGCACATGGTTTCTTCTTTTATGTTCCTCCTCCGCCTCTTTATGACTAGAAGTTATCCTCAACCTAACATAAATTGGACTTCCAATTTGGAAACTTAGACTTTGACTGCTCATAAGTCAAACGTAGTAGCCCCTCCATTTACTAACTAAACAGGACCCAGGGATCACTACAACAAACTAAAGAAGATATGAGACTCTAAATAAGTTATAAATTTATCAACGGCATAAGGTCCAAAGTGAACTGAAATCGAGCCAACTTCATGGATTTCTATGTTCTCGGAATTTAATTTAATCTTCCTGGAACCTTAATGGAATGAATCAGTGAAAAGCTTCCCAGAATAAATACCTTTATGCTGTTAATTGAATTGGTGATCTCAAAAAATGGCATATAACAATTGAAATGTGTTGGATACAACATTAGAACAGGATATGGAGCACAATTGGAATATATACAGGCCATAAGGCAAGAGAGTAAATCCAGACATGTTGACATTGGTTTTTACCCCGCTTGAGAGTAAATATGCCAAGACCTTGGTCATGGATTTTCTCAGTCCAATCAGAAACCCTCTTTCCTAGTTATTTTGATTGTTCATTTTTTACTGGTCTGTTTTCAGGTTAAGAATAGGATCTCTACGAGGGGTAAGATGGTTAAAACAAGCTAAACCACCCATGATGGCTTGAGATCAACTTGAGCAAGGCCTTTTCAGGCTTACTTACACAGACAAAACCAAGTAAAACTGGATTATTAGGAGACCCAAACTTGAGATGGAAGATTTTTTTGAGCTTATCTACATTAACAAAACAATTGACGGGACGTTGATTATGAGATGAGCTAAACTTGAGCAAATAGTAGTTGCTGACAAGAATTGAGAAGCGTTCTTGGCAACACAATAATTGAGAGCAAACTCCAACAATTTGTTCGTGCAGTAGTCGAAACTTACTTACCTCCATGATGGAAATTATTGCTCATGCTTCAAGCCAGCATATATAATATGCTTTTGATATTCAGCAAACTGAATTCTATTAAACTGACATACTGCCACAGGATCACTCATGGTCATTACTTAGGCTGAGGCCAACACCATTTACAAATAAATTAATCATATTTCATTCTCACTTTGTCCTATCTAGCAAATCTCTATCAAGTATTCGATCCACTCGAACAGTTATGAGCTTTCTGAAGTTGGCATAAGTAGGTCTTGAGAAAACTAAAGTGACAGCAAACCAAACTCAGACACCACTAAAAAATTATCCAAGGCTGAGCACCTTAATATTCACCTTACATCAGCTAGTTTACACCCTATAACAAAATTTTACTACTAAGTAGTTATATTAATTTTTTTATTTTTCACAAAAAAAAGTATCCAGCTTCTTTTTGTTGGTCCATAACCAATTGCACCCTCCTCTGTTTTTCTACTCTTTCATTCAACAGAATCGCTTCACTATCATAAATTAACACACTCATCCCCCCCCCCAAAAAAAAAAATATATATATATATATATATATATATATATATATATATAT